GGTGTGGCAGTGTCTCAGGCAGAGTAGATCTTACCTCTTCATTATCAACATTAGGGAAAGATCCAATTCTGGGAGAATGTCCTAAAATAGAAAAACATTGTGCTGTGCTGCTTTTGAAAAATAGTTTCATGTCTTATCTTCTGCTAATGATTAAGTAACAATAAATTATTGTCTTAATCAGTTTTCTGGGGAGAGAAAAGAGCTCTAAATGGACAGTTATTCCTTTTGTATGGTAATCCTATTTCTTGGCTTGGAGGTTACATACAAATCATGAGAGAGAGGACTTCATTCCTAAAAAAGTTCTTATTAAACGTTTACCAATTCTAGAGCATTTTACTACTGATGAGACTTTTAATATGACTTAATACATTTACCTAAAAATAATCTCTATGCATTAAAAGTATATGGTTTAAACATAATAACAGACTAAACGCTCACCTCAGCTCCCTTACTCTGCAGTGAAGGCCCCTGGATGTGGCTAAAACTTTGTACTATTTCCTTGCAACTCTCAGCTAAGTCATCTTTAGCTTCCAACCAGGTATGATTAACTATGATTGATGTCTGTTTGGCTAAGAAATCAAATAAGTATAGCAAATCTCATTGTGATTCATACTTCTCTATTTTTAAAAAATATATTTTTATTGATTTCAGAGAGAAACGGAGAGAGAGAAGCATCAATGATGAGAAAGAATCATTGATTGGCTGCCTCCTGCACACCCCTTACTGGGGATCAATTTGGGCATGTGCCTTGACTGGTTCCTAGGTCGATGCTGAACCACTGAGCCATACCAGCTGGGCCCTTCCCTCTATTTCTATTTTTCCCTCTCTCATCTCAGGGCCCTTACTTAGCTGCTGTCCCAGCCTTCACCTTCCCTTATCTTGACTATCTGAGCTTTAACATTATATCCTCAGGGAAGTCCTCCTGAAGCCCTAATTAGATTACATCTTTCTGAAGTTAAATCCTTCCTGGGACCCTAGGCACTGTTGTTGTGACACTCATCACATGGTTTTTGTGAATATGGAAACAAAGGGCACTCAGTAAGCAGCACTTTAATCCGTGAGTTAGTTCTCCCCAGAGGTCTGTTTCTTAGAAGGAAGTATCTCAGAACAGCATCAGTCGCACACATTGACGTATGAACATGTCTTCCTTCTACAGAGATTTGCAGTTAGAAAAGGCTCATGTACTGCCAACGTTTTTCACATTGCCAAGAATGCTTGAGGCAGAAAAAGCCATCCTGTTGTCCCTCCAGCTATAAAGTTTGGCCCTCTGCCCCTGGCACATACCCAGCATGCTTACTCACATGTACATGTCCCCGTGGGATTGGGGAGTTTTGTTCTGTGACCCACCAGAGGTGGCTTTGGAAAAGGAGTCCTATAGTAGCTTTTGTCCCTTCTGAGTACAGATTATGTCACAAGTCTTCATTTTTCCATTTGGCTTCAGAAATTCTTTCTTCAGTTTCCACCATTCATTTAAGAGTGTGTCCTGCAATTTGTATCCTTCTTGATGTGCCCCAGGTGATAAGTCCTGAGGAGGCTGCCCCGGGGTGTGGGTGAGGGTGTGGGTGATTTTATTCATGGAGCCTGGAGCCATATGCATTCGGGTTTGTATGTTTGTCATTCTTTCTAGGTTAGGCGGTAAATTCTTTCTGTTGCTTTCCATGAGTGCTGACTTCCCTGAACCATTTTACCATTTTCAGTACCTACAGCTTATGGCCCGTAGTTTTAGAACTACCTTCTCCCAATGTCCTTAAAGATATCATGTCACCTGGAGTCCTACGTGACCAGGGCCGGGGAGAGGAAAGCAGGTACTGCTAGGTCTCTGCTCCAGATGGGGCAGCGGAGTTCTCTGACCTGTCCGCCCTCCTTAGGGCACAGGTGTTCCTTCCCCAGCGTCCTCTCTTGTTCTGTGTCCAGAGCCAAGTGGCTTCCTTGGTTTAACAGTCGCACTTTCCCGTGAGTTTGTAGTTAGAGCACAGGAGTGGAACCAAGGATGGGAAGACAGAAAGCCACTGGCCACGCACCCTGGGGTAGCTCATGATGGTGATGCTGCTTTCCTTTTTGAAATCGTACAAGTTGCACATTTTATCTGCTTGTCCGTCCATCAAGGACGGAAAGTTTCTTCTCAGAATAGGCAAGCACAGAGCTGCTGTGAGCTTGGGCCCTGGTCCAGCCTTCCCAGGAGGCCTCCCGCCCTGGCCTGTGGATAAGCCCTCTGCTGATAGGAGGCAGGGGTCTGCTTTCTGCTGCATCATCACGTTGTTTGTGTATGTCTTTCCCTCCTCCTCTTCCTTCCTTCACCTTCCTTTCATTTCTCTTTTGTATGAAAATGCTTTTGCTAGCTGGTTCACTGTCTGGGTTGGTAGTGAACTTTCAAAGCCTAGGCTGAACTGCGGGACTGGCACTGTTACAGAGGGCACAGTGATAGATTGGTTACCAGAGCTGGTTTAAACATGAGGCCGAGGGGGACACATTTTGCACTCAAAGATGCGTCCAATCAGGACTAAGCCCTTCTCCCTTCTGGGGCTGCACCTCTCTCTGAAGGTAATTTCTTTAGAGTGCACCTATAGAAATACACACACACACAGAGAGGGAAACAAGGATGCGCATTCTGTAGTTATTTGTAACTGTGAGGACCTGAAAGTAACCCCACACTTGCACACTAGTGGGCGAAGACTGATGCTAATTCTGTTGCGTCCGTGCAGGGAACGCTGCGCAGCTCTGAGAAACAGGACGATGTAGAGGTAGTGAGTGCAGTGGTGTCTGCAACATACTAACCCGTGGGAAAAAGCCATGTTGGGTTACATAATCATATTCTAGCCATTTAAACATATCCATATCCATATCCATATCCATAGAAAAGTCTAAGAGAATGTACTACAAACTGTTAACAGAAATTCACAGGAATGGGATTAGAGTGAAGGGGGAGTAGATGTTTTGCTGTTTTAGTTTATACCCATTTGTAATATTCACTTTTGTGTATAAATAAATCAGTTTTATAATTTTAAGAATAACAGTATGGGGGTAAAGGAGTAAATGACACATTAATTTATTGTAATGCCTTTCTACCTGTAATTTTACCTAGGTTTTCTTTTACATCATGAAGCACTGAGGGGTCACTGGGGTAATCAAGTTCCTGGTCTTGTTCTTAACTGGATGCTGTTTTTCTTTGAATTTTTAATTTTGTTAATCCTCACTCGAGGATGTTTAGAGTGAGTGGAAGGGAAGGAGAGAGAGAGAAATATTGTTGTGTAGAGAGACATACCAATTGGATCGACTGGTTTCCTCCCACATGCAACCCCATCAAAGCTGGAGATCAAACCTGTAATCCATGATTGGGGATCAAACCCAAGACCGTTTGGTGTATGGGCCAATGCTGTAACCATTGAGCCCCACTGGCCAGGGCTGGCTGCTGGTTTTTTTGTTGTTGTTGTTGTTGTTTTCTTTTTTTTTGTATTAATGTGAATTATTAGCTCTCTATATCTATTTTCCCATCAGTGTCATTGGAAGAGTATTCTCTCACTGAAATATTAGCTGACTGTGGTCCTAGTTAAATTAATTCATCCATCCTTTAGAAGTGCACAACTGTTCGGTAGGAGTCAACCTGCTAAGCCATCAAAAGAAATTGCCTTCACAATGACTCTGCTTGCCAAATTTATCTTCACCATTCACAACCTAACTTCTCTAGTCATACTATGTCTCCCACTTGAACCCTATTTTTCTCTTGTAATTTGAGAAGCAAAAGGATAATTTTGTGAGGACATTTTTAGTTCTTACGTTGAAACCCTGGTGATCTTTGTAAAATTAAATTTATGCACTTTTGTTTTCCACTTAGCTTTTTATCAGTCGGATTTCTAGCCTACTGTCAGTTAATTCCTGAAATGCTAGGACTGTAGCTTTTGTGGTCTCTGATTTGAGTGAATCCAGGATTGGAAACACTTAGTCTTCTTGTGCACAGACTGCTTTGAAGTTGCTTCAAGACTCACTAAATCTTCTCTGCATGTCTTTTTTCTGCCCTGTATGGATTTTTCTAAGGATTATAGTCTTTTAAAAAAATTTTATCAGTCTTTACCCTGCTCCTTAAAATAATAAAATGTAGTCAACTTGTTTTCAAGTACTTTAATTTAATTGACATTGCCTTGTTACCGGAGAAAGTGGAGATCTTGGGGTTCCGGGAGGGAATGAATTTCCTGAGGCACCCACAGGAGAATGGGGTTTCATGGTCAGCTTTATTGATGATGTAAAATGAAGGGGTTCCCCTCCAAGGTCCCATCTCTGTCCGCTCCCTCCCCCCCCCCCCCCCCCCCCATGGAAAGCGTCCAGCCTTGTCTTCAGCAGCAACAGAATTAAGGCCACTGCCCGGAATTTCTGTTCCATAGTAAAGTCCAGGCCAGTCCAGCACCTGGCTAGCTTAGGTTGTGTTCCCTGGCTAGCTTAGGTTGAGTTTCCTGGTTAGCTTAGGTTGCAGTCCATTGTGTGTGAGGTCTGCATGGCCATGGGCCATGGTGCTTAAGGCCACATGGTTTTGGAAAGAGAGCACAAACACAGACAAGTCTGGGTCACAGAGCAAGAAAACTCCTTTGTCTAGGGTTTAACCAATTAACTCCCCAAGATTTTGCACACTTCTGATGGGGTCCACCCGCTAGCCAATCCATTGTTCCCCAGGCTAGACTGACAGGCAAACACCTCCCCTGTGTCACCTGTGTCTCCCACTGTTTCCCACAACAACCCAGCACCTGATGGGGGAATGGAGGGGTGTAAATCCCCTTGGAGGAACAATGCTGTGTGAAGCTGTAGCTTCCGGGTGAAGCTGCCCAATGACCTTGCTCTCAATATCTGACTTTTCTTTGCTTTCTTCCCTTCATTAGTATTAACGAGCTAATTCTGATGATAACACATTCTCTGTTGACCTGGGGGTGCCCAGGCTGGGTCCTGGAGTCCAGGGCCCGTTTTGAGTGACCACAACCAGCCAGGTACAGTGACACCCCCTTTCTCTTTTCCAGTGCCATCGCCTCTATCCTGCGGGCCTGGCTTGACCAATGTGGAGAGGACTTCCGGGAGCCCCCTCACTTCCCGTGCTTACAGAAACTGCTGGCCTATCTCAAACGCATGATGCCGGGCTCCGATCCAGAGAGGAGAGCACAGAACCTTCTCGAGCAGTTTCACAAGCAGGAGGTGGAAGCCGACAGTGAGTCCTGGTTTGGTCTCAGGGAAAAAGCTGGGTTCTGACTCTGTAGCCGCCACATTGAGGAAATGTTCTCCCTTCCCTTGTTGACTAGGAGACCTTGGTTCTGTGCTGAAGGACAAGCTGCTGGGGGATTGGTGGTGGGTGTCAAATCTCAAGGTCATTCGAGCCCTAGAGCTTTAGAGCAAAGGGGCTTCTCAAGACCAGCTAGTCTTGTGCCCTCGTTCTACAGAGGAGGAAACTGGACCCAGAGAAGCGAAGTCATTTTCTAGGATTTCTTCTGATATCATAAAGAGGATGAGCTGCGCTGAGCCTGAATTTGCTCTTTATTATCTGCCCAATGGCTCCTCCTCTGATCAGATGGAAATTCATCCCACACAACAGCCCCCATTCAGCAGGCAAGGAATGGCCTCCAGTCCTGCCCCGGCCTCACAGAAGCAGGGAAGCGGTGTTTCTCCTTCCCTGAAAAGTAGTTAATCTGGCCCCTGCCAGGGCAGATTACGGGCAATCAGAGCCCCCAAAGGCCTCATGGGGGAAGTTTCCCCAGCTGTTTTTTTCCTATTTGGGGAACTGACTGCCTATTTCAAGGACAAAGGAAGAGCCACCAGGGCAGGTCCTGGAGCTATCAGGCATTGCAGAAAGCCAGAGAGAGATTAGGATGGGCTTTCAGCGTGATGTTTTCACCCCCACTGGCATGCCAGGCGCTGGTTGCCATGACGCCTGACCCACTTGGAACTCCTGACAGGCATGTCCCAGAAATGACGCCCGATTTCCTCAGTGGGTAAAGGAAACAGTTCCGCCACACCGATAAGGGACGCGGCCTCAGCGCCAAAGAAAATACCCTTAAATCTCAAACAGTACCTGCTGAGCTTTTTATGTTGTGGAGGTCCAGCAAGGGGAAAGCACAGTTGCATCATTGGGAGCTGCCTGCCAAGCACTGCTATCTCCGATGACTTCATCTGCCGGGAATGCTTGAATGCCAGGGGCGCTCCTCCAGCCGGGACCTCAGGGCCTCCCGCCTGCCTTTGTGCTCAGTGGAAAGGCTGGGTTAGAGCCCAGCTCTCCCTGGGGCTTCCCCTGGCTCCGAGCCTAATTGGGGAACCGGTGGGACCAGTCGTTCATTGTTCCTTCCAGGGACAGAAGGCAGATAGATCTCCCTGGCAGCCTTTGGGAAGGCTTTCAGTACCCCAGAGTGACTATTTTCTAAGTTTGGACATTTTTTATCAAGAAAGCCCGAAACTGATGTTTAAGTACAGGAGCCATTACTGAACAGGAGTTTTAGGAGCTTGGTTCCCAAGAGCGTAAAATGAAGTTTACCCAATTTCATTCCGGCAAAAGCAGAAACCTCTCCTATGTGTGTTTCGCCTCTGCTAGAAATTCAACAGCAAACATTGAGGTCTGGGCCTGGAGAGAAAGGACCACGTGATCTCCACAGCATCCAAGACCCACGCAGGCCCCGGGGAGTGTTGAGTGAATGAGAGGAAAGATGTTGAAAACGTTAGTTAGTTGGGGCCACTGTATATGACATCTTAACCACGAACACCGCTTGGCTGAAGTGGATCGGCCTCTGCATTGCAGTGATAAAGACAGACTTACATAGTAGCTAGCAAGAGGGGTTGGGACTTCAGATGTCTTCCTCCTCCACAGAATGAGAGAGCACCAGGGCTGTGTGCAGGCCAGGCGGTGAAACTGTGGGGTTTCAACTTTCTTGTGTGTCCCAGGCTCCGGAACAGGCTGCCTTCTCTACGCATAACCCATCTCCACTCGCATCAGTGCCTTCAACTCTGGGGAGAGGAGCAGCCTTAAACTGCATACCTGCCATCAGAGCTGGCAAGCACTCGCATGGCACTCAATAGAGGAAGAGAAGTAGGGTTCGATCTCAGCACCCTCATTACCCGAGAAAACTAAGAAAGGGCCACCTTAGCTTGATCCACGGTGCCTAAAAGTCTCTTATTTTACAAAAAAGCAAGGAAAGGCTTAAAATGCAAACCTTTAGGGGAATAGTGACACATTAAATTTTTGCTAAGAGATAACTGAATAGAGCTCTTGGTATTATCCATTGATGACAGATTGAATAGAGAGGATAGCAAGGAGTGCGGAGAGGATGAGATGGGGAATCAGCCAGGAACTGGGCAAAGGTTCCAGGAAGAGGGGCTGGTTAGACTTCATCCTGAAGGTATTCAGTGTGGAGCCCCGGGGGTCCTGCTGCATGTGTGCGCCGAGACCTCCAGGTAGGATTTGGAGTTGTAGGTAGTGATTGCAGTGACGTTTACTCACTCAGCCTGTGCCCTGTATGATGTGCTGAGTGAGGATCTTATCTATAAGGCTCAATGTGAATTTAGTTGTATTTCTTTGTTTTTAAATCCTCCTGGTGGATATGTTTTTATTGATTTTTAGGGAAGGGAGAAAGAGAAACATTGATCAGTCACCCCCTGTATGTGCCCTGATAGGGGATTGATCCTACAACCTATTTTATGTGCCCTGTCCAGGGATCCGACCCACAACTGTTTGGTGTACAGGACAATGCTCTAACCAACTGAATCACCCACCAGGGCTGAATTTAGTTTTAAAATATTTGTCATGCAAATTTACCTTGAGGTGGAAGCTGAAAGCTACTCCAAGCATTTTGAGAATTCAGAGGACTTGTTGAGGCTTCTGAGGACTTTATCAGCATCTCTGACACCAAATTGGCCCATTTTACTTCCCAAAGCCTGTCCTGCCTTCACATTCAGTCCTTCTAGGCTTCTGGTCATAAATGGCCCAGTAACTAAGGATGTCATACACAGGAAGTAGTTGGGTTAGTCCTTGAGCTGACCAGAAGGTTTGAGGGAGCCCAAGATGAGGATAAGTACCTCAATGTAGCCCAGCTTTGCTTCTCTCTAGACTTTGCCTAACCTGGCTCAGTCCTTGGCCCAGGAAAGAGGCAGGGGGTTGTCAAAGGCAGAGGCCTCTACACTTGATAAAGAATCAAAGAACAAGCAGAGATGGTGAAGGCCTCCATTCATTCCCCTCGGATTTATTGTGCTTGCTCCTCTCTCCCTATGGGCTTCCTGAAGGAGTCACCCTTTCCTTCCTAAGAGAGAGACATTCAGTTGGATTCCATAAACAAGGTCATATACAGTGGCCCCAACTAACTAACTCTTTTCACATCTGTCAACAGATGGGTTTGCCAACACCATCTCCTGCCGCCTGGAAGAGGAAGAGGAACCGGAGGCCGGAGGGTCTGCAGAATTCACGTGCTTCTCAGAGGATCTTGTGGCAGAGCAGCTGACCTACATGGATGCAGTAAGTCTTCTCTGAGCCTTGGATGTGCTTCTACTTAACACCTGACGGGGAGGGGGTGGTGGTGGGAGGAAGGGTGTGTGTGACAGTATTGGTGGCGAGAGGGCAGGGGGCAAGGTGATTTACGTCTTTTCAAATCCTTGTGAGGCTGTGCCTGTAATGCAGGGTGAAAACGTGACTTCAATCAATCATCTGAATAATTCAGGCCTACGTTCTCCTTGCAGTTCTGGGTGAAGGTGCTTTTTCCTTGACGCTCAATACACAGAGAGAAACAAGAATTTTAATCCTGGTGAAACCAAATCTGCCCTGTCCCATGGGTGTTTCTCTCCCTTTAAGCTCATAAATATTTCAAGTTCTGAACTGTTTATTTGGGGGATTGTAAAAGGGTCAAAGTGTAAGTTAGGATCACATAAATCCACTGAATCCACATGTGACTCTATCTGGCAGCTCATTTCCACATGTGCTTCTTGCACCTTTGAAGTTCCAATACTTTTTTTAGCTGCACATGTTTGATTACGTCAGCCACATTGCGTAGCTCAACCTTAGCTGATAAATACCAGTGGAAGAAAAAAGGACTATTATGAATTATCACGATCGTTTGGGCTCTTCTGCATTTACCGCTTTGGGAAAAGCAGCATAAAAAGTTGCAGTTTCCATTGAGAGCATGCAGATAAACACAGATAGCCTGTAAAGTAAAGCCTGGTGGTCGCTCTTTTCATATAAACCCTGTACATCTCATATGGGATTGTTGTACAAATGATATCTGATTTGTTCAACAAATTTGTGATTGTTCCTCTCGATAGCATAAGAGAAAGATGGGAAATGTCACCGGTTATGAATTTTAGGCAAAGACCTTAAAGCCAGGCTTCAAATCCCTCATTCTCCCTTTTGTTGTGTGACTGATGTTGAATAATTTTCTCTTTATATGCTTCTTGCCTTCTTCATTATAAATAATGTGAGATAATGACCTCGATGAATGTCACATGTATTGCATTTTGGTGGGTCACTTTTCAGGTGGTTGTTGAGCATTCATATGTAGTATAGACAATTCATCATACATATCAATTATTGACAATTATTTACCAAAGTGGTAAGTGTAGAAGAGCCCAAACAATTGTGATAATTCATAATAGTCCATAATTCATGGTCATGAGTACCCAGAAAACACTATGGATATGAATTTGAGGTCAAAATAATCTTATAATTTTTTTTAAATTTTTCAATTAAAGTCAACATACAATATTATTATAGTTTCAGGTGTACAGCATAGCAATTAGACATTTATATAACTTACAAAGTGAGGGGTCAAAAATAATCTTAACATAGATTTTTAGTTGGCTTTCCTCCTAAGATAGAAAAGTTAAACCCATCTTGGGCATTTAGATTCTCTTTTGGTCATTGTGTTTCATTTCTTAGGCTGAGCAGATTTGGAAAGAACATGCGGGCTTTTTGACCAGTTCATATATGAATTATTCACTTTTGTCTATTGATATGAACACCATGAGGCAAATGAAGTAGAAAAGGATTATTTGTTCATTGAAAAAAAAAATAGCAATTTACAGATGACCCAGATGACGTATGTTGCCACATGAAACGTCTGTGTTGTCCTTACAGTCAATTCCTCTTTTGTTCTAGCAACTATTCAAGAAAGTAGTGCCTCACCACTGCCTGGGCTGCATTTGGTCTCAAAGGGACAAGAAGGAAAACAAACATTTGGCTCCTACGATCCGCGCTACCATCTCTCAGTTTAATACCCTCACCAAATGCGTGGTCAGCACAATCCTGGGGGGCAAAGAACTCAAAACTCAGCAGAGAGCCAGAATCATCGAGAAGTGGATTAACATCGCTCATGTAATTGTCTCTTTTTAAATATTCTTTGGGCTTGGTCGGCATCGGATTCTACTGCATCCCTGTGTTTAAATGGTTTCCATCTGGTTGAAAGGCAATTAAAGACCTTTCCATGTGAGGGCCCATTGGATTTTGTTATTGTTATTGTTCTTCCAAAGTAAGAAAGTTGTCTTTCTTAACTCGGGAGCTTATTTGCTTTTCCTCCTTTTCCTGTTTTTCCTTGCTTGCTTCATTCTGCTCCTGGATCCTCGCACTGCTGCTCCTTCAGTTTGAAACATTCTGCTTTTTCCTTCGTAGTCACAGGCTGTCTGTTCTGTCCTGTGTTCAGTAAATATAAACTGATAGTCTAGGTGTCAAACAGACTGCGCTTCAGCCAGAGTGATTACCCATGCACCCTATCTTTAGCAGGTTTGAAGAGCCTGTACCTTCTCAGAATCCTGAATCTTTTTCTAAAGGACTGAGATACACAGATTTCCCGTCAATCTGGGGATTTTCCGAGAGCCTTATCTGACATTGGAGGGGCAGAGTCTATTCCTATGCCTGAATTACATTTCGCTTAAGGTCAGGCTGTTTATATGCCATGTGACCTTCACTTATTCTCTTATTTCATCATTGAGAAAAGGTAAACAGTATCAAGTCAGATGTTCGCCAAGTATTTCACGAACTTCTGTGTATGTATTTTGGAGACATAGATCTGATAAGCACAATTAATTTGGTCTTATAGGAGTCTGTCTGTAACAGGTCAAGCAAGGAAGCTGAGATTGCTAGAGTGATCTCAGCCCAGGCAGGGGAGGAGTAGGGCGCTGGGAGATAAGAGCTGCAGGAGTTGACAGAGGAGAAATCCCTCTAACTGAAGCAATCCAGGAAGGCTTCAGGGATAGGGTGACATTTGCATGTAGCTTGAATGATAAATAGGACTTTTGATATTTAAAGATTGGGTAGGTTTTTTTTTTTTTTTTTTTTTCTAGGTAGAAGTTATCTCAGCATAAGCTATATAATTTACAATTTTGAAGAATAATTATTATGTAAATATCTCATTAGTTCATGTTCTGGGTTATATGGATTGTCCCTCAACAAAATCACATTTTGTTTTTTTATTTCTTTTCTTTTTCTCCCCCATTAAGCCATGGTTTATAGAGCACAATGCTTAACTTTTCACATGCTCTCTTTTTCACATTCTTTTTAGATGACTTGAATTAAAGAGTAGGCCATCATTGTACCAGAGAATGGGCCTTACTTGTGTTTTTAGGTGGTCTGTTAGCACAGGCATTTTAGTATATGAGAAAAATCAGAAACAAAAAATATCTCATGCAATGTTGATTTTTTGTTTCCTGAATTGAGCTTAGTAAGAGCTACAAAAAGAAGTTTTGATAGAGTATGACCGAGAGCATGGGATGGAGAGGATCTGTCTTCTTAGAATGATAAGGAATTTTTTGCCTTAAATGCCATATCATTTGCAGCCTTCTACATGTCTCAAAAGAAAATAGTCAATCTACCTTTAATCCATTCTACTGCTTAGCAAATCTATAGCAAGAACACAGCAATTGTATATAAACAGTGTGGTTCAAACAATGGCTTTTGGTCCAAACTAAACATAGACTGTGCATTTATGTGGTAATAAGAAATGTGAGTTGAACAATTTGAAGTATATTCCAGATTTCATGGTATTTCAAAGCCAAGGGTCCTTATTCTTGGTGAAGCAGTTTCCTCATACTGAGCGCTGTGTCCCTTGAACTTGTGTGGGCTAGCTTAGAATAATGAAGCTCACAGCTGGTTCCCTGCCAAGATTTATTTTACTTTTCCTGCATTATAATCACAGTCAATTTCTACTGAGAGAGTGTTTGGAAACTGATGATTTTACACGCAGAGAACATTTCTGACCAAATATGACTATATCTTCTTGGACGGGCCTCGCTGCTGCATTTTTACTTTGGTGTCATATCTCCTGGAAGGATACCTCCTTTTCTAGAAATGGAGCCAGATGCCTTTTCTGCTCCTTCAAACCCTTGGCTTAAGCCTCTTTCAGAGTAATGTGTTCCATATGTTTGTTAGAATTTGCATGAAATATCTGTGCCTAAGTTCCTTTATTTATTACAAGTTTCCTGATTTTTAGAACATAATTTTGGATTCTGAACCTGCATTGAACCAGCCATGTTTGGTTTCCAAATGGACTGTAATTCAGCATATTCTCTTTCTCTCTCTCTCTCTCTTTCTGTCTCTCTCTCTCCCTCCCTCCCTCCCTTTTCCCTTTCTCTTTCTCTCTTTAAATAAAGGGAAGGCATTCAGACATTTCAAAAGAGTGGGCATGACTTCTTTAAAGTATTTGGCATTTACTCTAAAGAAAATGTTTGAGGGTTTGTTTGTTTGGCACGGTTTTAAGTAGCCAGATTTTGGCGTGCTAAATTAGAGAATGCTGTTTTTTCCCTCATATTCAGGATTAGCATTACTTTGTGAAATGATCTTTTAAGCCATGTGAATTTTTGCCCGATCACTCTGGGGCCTCTTCCCCAGATGTTGTGCACAAAGCCAAACCCATGCTCCCGGTGGCCTGAACGGCAGACAGTGGCTGGGACTCGAGACCTAGTCCCCTCTCTCTGCATGACCCCCTGCCCGGGCAGCTAGGCCTGGGGCCCTCACCCCGGCTGTCCTGCCATCCCTGCCATTCATTCAGCGGAAGTTGGACTCCGCGGTCACTGGCTGCCGAGGCTGTAGACTCCCTGTGGCAGCTTAAGTTTCGGATTCAGGGAGCCTTTCTCCTTCCCCACAAAATGACATCCAGAATGTTTCCTGTTCCCCTTCTATTTTGTTTTCAAGCGTTGCCAAAATGAATTCGATTTTAAAAGCCCCAGCTATTTTGGAAACATTGAAGTACCAAGGTGTTTCTGAATGTTTATGATTGTGGCACAAGCCAATTTGAAATGAAATGAATGTGTATAAAAATATTCCCTCTTGGCTAAGAACGTAAAAGCCAAAGTTCAACTTGTGGTGAATTTTTATTGCCAAGTTATATACACCTCGCTGGGCGAGGGTAGGTCATGAGATGTTCGATACCATCTGACCTTGAGGTGGCTGCTGGCCCACTCGCTCTGTGGGCCTAAAGGATGCAGTGATCTTTCGTGTGTATTTTTAGGGCAGCTGTGTGCTGTCAGAAGAAGTGAGTTTGCTTTCTCTAGCGTAGCTCTGCAGACTCACCTCCAGTCGTGTTTTTACTAGGAAAGCTGGAAACTATAAAACTGTAACAACAACACAAAAAATATATTAAAGGAGAGAAAAACAAGCATACAGTGCCAAAATCTATAAAGTGCTTCAGTGACTGGGGTGGGAGTAAGGAGCCACTTTTTGATGTTCAGTATTTATACAGCTGCCTATTTCATGGTAAGAATTCAGAGCAGCTGTGATACCTCTAAAAACGGGAAATGACCAGCTCACTGTAGTATTGATATTTAAATGCCTTTTCTGTTCTAATCACTCTCCATATAGGAATGTAGGATCCTGAAGAATTTCTCTTCCTTGAGGGCCATCGTCTCGGCACTGCAGTCCAATTCCATCTACCGGTTAAAAAAGACGTGGGCTGCTGTCCCAAAGTAAGTTCCCAAGTGTCTGCTCCACTTGCTTTGGCTGAGGGATGAGTTGCTGCCTAAATGGTGTGAGTTCTCACCTTCAAAGCTCTTATTTGTAAAGAGAGGAACATATTTGAAAGCCTCTGTGTGCTCCAGGCAGGGTGCGTCTTACCCATAATCATTCATGAATTTGAGGCAGGGCCACGGCAGAAGCCACTCTCATTCTCACAGTGTGCCAGAGCCAAGGTCATGGGCTGCAGGGACCATTTTAAGGATGTGCTGCTGATAGTCTGGATGTGGAGTGATGAAGTTACAGCCATTTGCCATTTTTTTATGTTGTTGTTGTTAATATATTTTTTTTTATTGATTTCAGAGAAGAAGAGGGAGGGGAGAGAGACAGAAACTTCAATGATGAGAGAGAATCATTGATCGGCTGCCTTCTGCATGCCCCCCTTCCCTGTCCCCCCCCCCCCCAACTGGGGATCAAGCCCACAACCTGAGCAAGTGCCCTGCCCAAAAATCAAACCGTGACCTTTTGGTTCATAGGTTGATGCTCAACCACTGAGCCACACCAGCTGGATTGCCATTAGTTTAGGTTATGTTTCATCCTCCCAAAGCCCGAAGCTGATCCAAGATGTGAGGGGTAACGTGTGCAGCCAGGACGTTGTTCTTGTGGCTTCTCCAAGACTCCTTCCAGTTGTTTCTGCTTTGGCATGCGAAAAACTAGCTTAGTGATGTTCAACACCTCTAACTGTTCCTCTCTGCTGTTTTCTTCACCTTTCCTGGTACGGCCTTTGAAATAATTAATAACTTAATGTCCTTGTTATTTTGCCATCTCTCTCTCTCTCTCCCCCATTTCCAGAGCTTCCCTTGTAGACCAGAGGACGCTTTGCAAAGGAGGGAAGGGTGAGTTAGAAGGCAGTTCTGGCCTCGAGGCAGTACAGGCTGAGAGGCTGGGGGATGTGTCCTGGCTGCAGCTTAGGCCAGCTACATACCACAGGTCCGCCTAGGTTTGAGCTAATCAAGAAGTCAGGCTGTATCGGAAGAATGTGTAAACTGTTTATAGTCTATACTGTATGCAGTATAGTCCATTTCAGTCAGGAGAGAGGCCAGCTGGCTCCCTAGCAGGCTCGCTCTTATGGAATTGGTGGGTTTGGTCCTTAGCGTAGGTCCAGCACTGACTTTCATCAATTCTCTCAAAGCTGATTAAGCCCAAAGGGACAGACACGCTCCAAACTGCAAGAGCCCCAGATTGGTAAAACAGAGTTTCCTAGATTTACGCTAAAATAGTGAGTGCCAGGGATCTCGAGGTTACTGATGAGCTCATAGTCCCAGTCGGAGGAGAGTCTGCTTGGGAGAAGTGAAATTATTTATTACATAATCCTTTGGTGGGTAAAGGGGGAAACATTGAAATGGATGATCTTAATGCCTGGCATTGCAGAGCTGTAGAAACCACCACCACTTGGACCCCAAAGCTCACGCTCTGCTTATGAAGCCATTATCCCGCAGTAGAAACATTGGCAGGCAGGCTTTTCAAAGTCCAGAGCAACATTCTTAATTACCGTTCTGCACATGGGTTCTTTCTCCTCTGCATTCGTTTGAATAATCTGTGTGAAAGAGAGATTAGTTGATTGATTTTCCTCTGCACATACATGTTCTGAAAGGTAGAATCCTATAAAATTCTTAGGTAAAAAGCCCTGGGGAAATAGGTGGGAAACTCAGCTGTGTACAGAGTCCTCATCCTCAACACCCCCAACTTCAACTCCTTCTCCTTACCACTACTCCCCAACTGTGGTATCAAAAGCAAAGGCATGGGCAGGTGCTAAAATGCAGCCTTCTCTGATGGCAGTCAAGGGCAATCCTAGCTTTCTTTGGAGGCTGACAGATTGACCACTATGAAAAGCCGCTTAGCAAGCCGGAGACTTCTTCCACAGTAAACCTGAGGCTAAAACCCAAGTAAGAAAATCAGTGGACTTGTATCTTAATCTCCTTGGTTCATACGAGAAAGTCCATTCTTCCAGCTGCCTTTATTAACTATTCAAAACACGCACCACAAAACCAACCTCAGAGGTGCGTTCTGCACAGCATGGGGGCCTGGTTTGTTTCTTAATTGGATGGTTGGTTCATGGCTGAGCAGGGATGCTGCAGAAGTGTCACAGTTCCTCAGAGAAGACACTTCTGTTATCAGCCTTACATATTTTCTGTTGCTAAATTCAAGTGACAGGGTTAAGATAGCTTACTGGGTTATCATTTTCCCTGTCACCCTTTATGCTAATAACTTTCAGTGGACAAAGAAGATGTCTATTTGTTTCTCTTTATTTAGCCTGACATGTAATCAGTTTCTTAATTGATTTTCCAAAATATAAATCGCTTTCATGGTTTTCTTCATTATGAGAGCAATATTATACGCGTGAAATAAGTAAGTTCTTAAGAGTGGCTTTCTCGTGATAATGAAATGCTGAATATGGAATGAAATTGCCCCTGTTAATCCTTTGCCTTCAGAATTATCCCCTCAGTAACCCTGGAGGGGTGCGTGGGGAAAAGCATGAGGCCTATTGAGACGTAGTGAACAAAAAGGAGCAAGGACTTTGCATGTGTGATTCAGCTGGCTTTCACAGCAGTCCTGCAGGCAACTGCTGGTATTTCCATTGTCCAGATAAGAAACTTGAAACTCAGAAAAGAGAAGCAGCTTGTCCAAAAATCACGTGACGAGCAAGTGGCGGAATTGGGATTTGAACCCACTCCTCTGACTCCCGAGTCCATCTTGATCCCATCATCTACTCAGAGTCTGTGATTCAGGAGACTTGGGTTCTGTACCTCCCATCATCTACTCCGAGTCTGTGATTCAGGAGACTTGGGTTCTGTACCTGCCATGCTCAGCAGTTATTAGTGGAAAGTTGGGCCAATCCCTGACCTTGGCATCTCCAGCTCTAAAAGGAGGGGACTGGCCAAGATAATTTCTCAGGTCCACAGGGCCATGTGTGTTGCCAAGATAGATTTTATTTTTTCTGAAGAGAACATGTTCCAGTTGAACAATTTAATTCCCCAATTTAACAATATTTTTATGGTTATAAAACACATAGTTAGGAAATATCCCTCTCTTCACATAAGTGATCATATCTACTGTAAAAAAAAAAGCCATCTTGCAGGAAAAAGTCATTGGTTTCATCTGCTCATATCACTCTCTGACCCTGAGGTCAGTATGATCCCTCTGTAGCTATAGGTGCTGGGAACAGCTGGACTGAAGGTGTAGGTTTTCCTAACTTCATTTGTTCATATTTTCTTGATCCCTCTTACAGAGAGCGAATGCTAATGTTTGAAGAACTTTCCGACATCTTCTCGGACCATAATAACCATTTGACCAGCCGGGAACTGCTGATGAAGGTGAGGCATGGGTACGGGGTGTGTGGGGGGTACTCTTTACTCTGGAATCCATTCAAGGGAACAGTGGCTTGCAGAAGGTGAAGGGGGCGGTGGTGGTGAGGCTCCTTACATTCCTGCAGTTGGAGAAAGCTTCAGGTGACTAGAAGGCAGCCTTTTTTTTTTTTTTTTTTTTTTTTAAATGCCTTATCTAAGAAGCTTGGGGCTGAGAAAATCCAAAGTCCAGCTCCTCGGCTTCACTTGTTACGCAACCAGATTGTGAAACTTCTGCTCATGTGGGTCCTTCTTTAACGAGCTGCTCCGCAAATACCAAGTGCTGGCAGTTAGGTGGGTAAGAGGCCCTGGAATAATTCTTCTCAGCAAAACATCTCCTAGAATGACAGAGGCCGAGCCAGCAATTCCACATCCTTTATTTGGACTGCGTTGCACAATCTATCAGTCAGCAATATTTGTTGAACACTATATGATGCTGACTGCTGACCCCCGGGCCAGGTGAAGGTATAGCGTGCTGCAGTTGACTGCTCCTGGCGTTGGTTGCATACCTAATATGTGTAAAGCACTGGGCCAGCCTCTAGAAGTAGGAAGGTGGCTAACAGATCCTGTTTTCAGGAATTCACCTTCCAGTTGGTAAAGACACTAAATGAGAGTAAGTCCAAGATGCACATGACAGGCTCTGAACATTCATCAGAGGTGAACATAGAGCAGATACCATCTTCATAGCCTTTCTATAAAGCGGACCTTATGATCCTCGTTTTGCAGGTAGCCAAGAGTCAGGTAAGTAACATGCCCTAAATCACACACGTGGTAGGCGGTGGAGCTAGATGAGGATACTACCTGGTGAGACTCTAAAACCTGTGCATTCTGAACCCTTGGGAGTAAGGGACAGGGTAGATTGGGAACAGCTTGATAGAGAAGGTTAGTTAGCAGTTTAAAAAAATATTGAGCATTCACTATGTGGTAGGTATTGAAGATGCAACCATATTGAAGGCGGTCTCTGACTTTAAGGAGATGACAGTCTCATGGGGGAGGGAGAGGAGTGGGTAGTTACAAAATAGCAGGAGATGCACCACCCTAGGGGAACCCTGAACAGGGCAACTAGAGGGTAGGATCCTTGTCCTTACTCTACTTTCCATAAATTGGAGGCTATAATAGCATTTAGTCTACTGACCTCATGGAAGGGTTTTGAAGATTGACTAAGATAAAATATTTGAAAGCACTATGCTTATGTAAGTTATTTTTAGTATTTGACAAGTTATTGCCCCTGTTAATCCTTTGCCTTCAGAATTATCCACTTGTCCTTACTCTACTTTCCATAAATTGTAGACAGTAATAGCAGTTAGTCTACTGACCTCATGTAACCAAAGTATGCATGACACATGAAAATAAATGTGTAAGTTGCATATGTGACCGTAGGCAGACACTTGGAATAGGAGTGAAAGTCAAGTAGAGGTGGGGTGATGAAGGAAGGACCACTAGTTGATAACTGTTAGATTAGTCCCTTCCTCCAAGGGCACCTGTTATGGTCTTTCTGATTGTTCTCCTTCTAAGTCCTATTCATCCTTCATGTTGTCGTGTACACTTTCCTCCTGGGAGCCTTCCTGGACACCCTCAGGCCTGACTAGGTTCCTTGCAAGTGTTCCAGAGGAAACCCGTCATTCCTCTGACCTAGCACCTCTCATATGTCCCCCTGGCATTGCCTGTGTACCCCGCCTATCTCCCTACTGGCCTGCAAGCCTCGTTCAGTCAGGAACTGGGTTTCTCTCTTTCACGGGTACATCCCTGTTGCCTAATACAGTGCCTGGCATGTAGCAGGTGTTCAGAAACTATGTTTGATTGCATGAATTTATGGTTCTTACAATTCACATGATTTAAACAACTTGCCCACTATTAGTCCTTTCTTAGAGAAGACTGTGTAAGCAGGCTAGTTTGTGCTAATGTCTGACCCTGGATTTGGCCTACCTGCTCAACTGCACTCTATACAGTGATCGCTGAGATCACATTACTACTCCCTGCTCCACATCCCCCTGGATTTGCAGTCTTTAAATGGAAACTCATTTGGCTGGAAGGAGATGGCTTAGTGGTCTCCCGACCAGTAGTAGAAAGCTAGACTGACTGGAGCCACACATTCAAATCGCAAGAGCTCTGAGTCATCCTTGCAAAGCAGATAAATGGAATAGTGCACAGCTCATTGCCTGGTGACGGTCTTCTGGCTGAAACCTTAGAAGCAAAGCTATCTCTAGACATTAAAGGTCCCATAAACATTAACTGTAGAAGTTTACCTCAGTGATCTAAGTTAAATTTCTTATGTAAGGCCCCACTCCCAAAGAAATGAGAAACTTGGCTATACACTCATGTAGTCTGTTCATTGTCATTAATGATAGTGGAATGTTGGGGCCAAGTGCACACGTACACGTAGATCTCTTTCCAGTCATCTTTGTTGATCATTCTTTACTGTGAAATATATAATTCTGGGTGTTAATTCTCAGCACCGTTGTGAAAATGAAGTTAAGGTATTAGATTCTCAAAAGAACCACCTGGACTTAGACTGATTTGTGATTGTGCAAGCTTAGTCTTAAATGGCCACTCTTCTCTTCTACTTCTGGGTAGATATGATGAGTGAGGGAACATTATAATCAGCAAGAATCTATGGGTTTCCTTTTGTTAGGAAAAATTGTTTTTATTTTTCTCAAACATGATCTTAAACCTGTTACCTCCTTATGATATCTATAACTTAGATAATTCTAAGCAGGTAAATTTCAGAATCTACAAATTTCACAGGGAAGCGGAACATCACAAATCTCCCTGGTTCTTGGGACTCTTATGAGAATTCTTCCCAGTTGAGTTGACACAAGTAACTTCTAGAAAGGCCCAAGAATTTGGTTCTGGTACAGATGTACTGTTCAGTGAAGCCCTCAAATGCACACTCAGAGTTGGAGCAGGAAATTGCTAGGACTGTGAAGACCCACTCAAATAATTACCATTAGCTTTCAAGCTATAATTTAATCTACATTTATTGAGAAGGATCCCAGGCTTGTGTGTCTCTGAATAGAAGAGGCCCCTCTAAGGCCAGGAACAGGATGAATGAGGGCAGCTGAACTCTGCTAAAGGTGGAAAGAGAGCTGGTGAGACTCAGGTGAGGAAGTGGCGAGAGAGGGAAAGAGGAGAGTGTTGAGTAGTGGGAGGTTTATGGAGGGAGAGATTTGGAATCCCTCCCAACATAGGTGATGATTAAGGTCTGGGGACTGGATAGTGTTTGCAAAGACATGAGTACAGTAAAAAATAGGAAGATGACTTTGATAGAAGAATTACTGAGATCATGTGAGTGAGAGCAGAGAAGAGGCAGAAGGAAAGAACCTGAGTGATGTAATCACAAAACCTGTCAAAAGCTTTGATAAGTGTGGGATTGGTGTGAGACGTTGCAGAGCAGAGGATGTAGGGCTGAGGAAGAAGAAACTGAAACTGTGGGATGTGGCAAATATGGATTCTTTGTGGACACCACATTTGGAGGAACTGCGCTAGCCAACCATCCAGCAGTGATGGACGCTCCTCACGAAGTCATGAAGTCAGTGCATCTCCTAGCTCCCATCTCAGGGCATTGCCTCTCCACCAATGAGCAGGTTGTCAAGGTCCCCCCATCTGTGGTTCTCAGGAGCCTGTTAACTGTCCCAATGCCCTTTGTCAGAGCTTTAGGTAAATCTGTAATCATTTCCTACATATTCCTCTGCCAGTGGTTAAGCAAGTGGAAGGGAGCCAGAAGGACTGACACACTGGCAGAGATGGACACTCTTACTACAGTCAGAAAGAATGGCTTTCTTACTCCAAGAAAATTCTCAAGAATTTGGGAGGACTCACAAACTCCTGGCCCAGGAAAAACTCTAAGTAGGAGATTATTAAATGGTAATGCTCCTGATTATCCTCTGTCACGGGGAGAATTAAAATGGACAGTAAGTCACTATGGGTTCTGTCCCCAGCGGTGTCCCTGGGCCTAGGTTAAGGGTTGTGAGTGACAGAAGGGAATTGAACCTCCCTGCCATGGGGAAGGCCAAGTCACCAAGAAAGACCCTTTAGCATATGTAAGAGAGTGAAAGGCCACAGGCTATGAAAACGTAATGAACCCAGGAAAACTGACTGAAGGGAAACTAATGCAGAGGTTATACGCTACTGAACCATGCAATTTACCTCCCATTCATACAGTTCCTGGAAAATGAGAACTTAACAAGGCTGAAACCACAAAACGGAAAACACTTTATGTTCAGTCAGCAAACTCAAGATGAGTCATTATGTAGAAGAGTTTAGAAAAGTTTGTTGTTACAACAGAGGGAGGCGGGAAGGGACAGTCATCTGTCCTCAGGCACCCAGAGGAAGGGTTGACGTGTAAGAGTTCTAACCTGAGAGGCAACTTGAGAGGCTTGACCGGGGGAGAAACCGGGGGAACGTGTACGAAGTCCTGGCTTTCACAGATTCGCGCTGTGCCCAGTACTGGACTTCCTCAAAAAACTTCCGGTACAAAAGTTTCACTTGGCTAAGAAATACCACAGAAATAGTCCCTTTTCTTTCACAGAATGCTGGCCCATGCACTTCAGGCCAAGAGTGAGAAATCACACGATGTCTAGGGGAAGAGATCTTCATGACTTTGAGTGAAATCTGGGATGTGTAAAAAATTGTCTCCACTTCCAGGAATTGCCTGTCTTATAGTGACCATTAACTTTATACCCAAACCATGGCTCTTTTTAAAAAAAAATATATTTTATTGATTTTGTACAGAGAGGAAGGGAGAGAGATAGCAAGTTAGAAACATGGATGAGAGAGTCATCGATCAGCTGCCTCTTGCACACCCCCTACTGGGGATGTGCCCGCAATCAAGGTACATGCCCTTGACTGGAATCGAACCCGGGACCCTTCAATCCCCAAGCCGACGCTCTATCCACTGAGCCAAACCGGTTTCAGCGCAAACCATGGCTCTTATTCCCATGCAGGGGGGTACGGGATAATCCAAGGCCCCAGGTCTTTCTACAAATAGACCACTTGTAACCAGCCAGCATGGATTTGCATAATTCAGCTGGAGCCCACTGCAGGCCTCTCCATTTTGCCTGCCATCCAGACAGTTGTGTGGAGGGTCCGTGCCAGTAGTAGGCGCCACTTCATTTCTTTCCAGGGTCCTTCTCCATCACTCTCCTCTGTGTGTGCTTCCCTTTCAGGAAGGAACCTCCAAGTTTGCCAACCTGGACAGCAGTGTAAAAGAAAACCAGAAGCGGACGCAGCGGCGGCTCCAGCTGCAGAAGGACATGGTACGTGCCCCAGGTTCTTCCCGAGGCCCATGGGAGAGCCGCCTGGGTGGGGAGCGGCCCCCCGTGCCACCAGCGCCTTCATCTGCAGGGGCCCAGGCTTTCATGAGCGTCCTCCCCCCTCCTGGCCTGTTTGCTCTCAGTCACCCTGAGGATCTGCAGGAAAGGAAAGGAAAGGCGGTATTACTCCCGTTGGACCCAGCAGGAAGTAAACACTGAGAGTCCCGGATCATGATGCTCTCTGGGGCACTTTTTCTCTGTGAGGAACATTCTGCTGCAGATAGATTTCCGTTCCTCTTGCCCTGAGAAGCTGCTGCCACCTTGGCCTTGAGACCTCCTGGGCTCCACTCCCCGATGGGAATGCCTCCATAGTCAGCTTTGCACACGTGGTGGCCCAGGACCAGGGGGGACAGAATGTCTGCTCCCGGGAGGATTTGATCACGTGCTGGGAGAACTCATTTGCTCCCACCCTCTAGTCAGTTCTCAGCTCTCCTAACCCCAAGGGTCAGCCAAACCTTTCTCATTTTCAGTACTCAGAGGAGTGCCAGGCCTCCCTCCTTAATAAGGATTGTTATGATCATCTTTAGCTTTACTTAAAAAGCTCCCCTAACTATAAGCATAGAAGAGGGAAAGTAGAGAGAGGAGACTAGAGACTGACAACTCGGATATTCTCATCCTGTTTACAGAGGATTAGTCTTTGGAAAGCTGCACATAAGTCGGGAACGTTCTTGACTGATAGGGCTCTGCTGTAACATAAAGCCATACAAATGTACATCATTTCCAACTCTTCAGTGGTTCAAAGACAAGTTAAAAATAGCTGTTAAAAAAAAGAAGATTATTTTGGTCCGGGGTGAGACCTTGAGTGCATAATGGGGAAGGACGAGCTGCCGCTGACAGGAGGCCCTGAAGGACGAGGCCCTCCTTGGCGTGACCCTCACCGGGCAGAACTGGCTGAGGAAGAGCCACCTCGTGGTGTGCAGGTGCCTTGTCCTGGCTGAGACTCGGGGTTTCTTTTGGCCAGGATTTCCTAAGGGCCTCCGTGGGATTCAGAAGGTGACCATGGAAATACCCTTTTATTTTATTTTCAACATCATTAGTGCTTGGTGCCTATGAAGAACAGAGATGACTTTAGAGGAAATTTGGTGAAATTAATACAGTGAATACTTGCAGTTGAAGTATTTCTACCTGATTGCCAAGGGCCAATTTTTATTTATTTATTATTATTTTGGAATTTATAGAGAGGTAGTGGGTGAGTTTCTGTGAACCCTCACCCAGTTTCCTTTCGTGGACATCTTCCATGACCATGCACACCTGTCATGCTGAGACACGGACCCTGGCAGGCCACTGCTGCCCTACAGGAGGGCCCTTACTTGCATCTCAGCACGTTTCTGTTAGGGTCTTCTTTCTGTTCCAGGGTCCGACCCAGCATACCCTCCTCGTTCAGTTGTCATGTCTCCCAATCTCCTCCTATCTGTTCAGTTCTCAGTCTTGCCTTGTTTTTCATGACATTGACAATCTTAAGGAACACTCTTCTGGTGCCCTTAGAATGCCCCACAGTCAGGGCGAGTCTGTTGTCTTCCTAATGACTAGACTGAAGTTATGGGTTTGGGGAAGACTGTCACAGGGTGAAGTGCCATTTTCATTGCGTTCTAGCAAGGAGCGAATGACATGACAGCAGGGTGACATACGGTGTCACTCATGATATTAGCCTTTATGCCTTGATTCATGTCGAGTTTGCCAGATTTTCCCCTTTAAAGTTACTCCTTCTCTCTCTCCCTCCTGTGCTTTGGAAATGAGTCATGAAGTCTAGACCAAGGGTCCATTGTATCGGCGCATCGCACCCTCTTGTGGTGCACACTCCTCTCCCGTGTGCAGCGGCCCACCCTTTCCAATGGCGAGGCCATCCCTCTCCAGGCCATTCCTCACCATCGAGTGTCCACTCCTCCGAAGGAAAAGAGACATCTCTGGCCTGAGCCTGAGCAACATACAAGCCCCCTGTGGGTACTCTTATCTGGTCTCCTGGCTTTGAGGCTCAGTTTTTAAAACTTTGAAAGTCAGATATTAGATGATGAGCTTCTTGTCCTATTTGTGTAGGAATTTTCAACAATTCATCCGTGGGATTAGTAACAATGGCCCCAAATTAGGCCCTGAATAGTTCTGAATTCAACTTGTCAAGGCTTACCTGGCCATTCAAAGATTGCTGCTTCCTTCTGCGAATGGGCTCGTTGCCGAACGTAGCCCACAGCAGGTCCATTTGCTCCAGCATGGAGGTTATTAAAACCCGTAGGCTTGTCAGTAACAGCCAAGACAGTTTCGTTGTGCTTCCTCCTCAGGGGCTGATGCAGGGCACTGTGCCCTACCTGGGCACCTTCCTGACTGATCTGACGATGCTTGACACCGCTCTCCAGGACTATATCGAGGTGAGTTCTGTGCAGGTGGCGACATTGCACCTGCAGCCTTCTCATTGGGTACCCAAGAGAGAAATGCACTTTTGTTGGTGTGTCCATGGCACTGTGCTAGATGCTATGAAGAATATAGAGATGAGTAACCAGAAGTGGCTCACAATCCCATGAAGGCAGATGTCAAAGCTGGCTGGGTTGATAGAAAATTAAGAATTCAAACAGATGCAGTTTGGTAAGAGGGGAGGTCATGATTAGTTCCACGTGAGGAAAGAGATGGCAAGACCTTATGAAGGAATGGGTTTGAGCAAGAACTTAATGTTGAGTTGGGCTTTGGGAAGAGGTAAGATGCCCTAACATTCCATCCGATCTGGTGGGGTAGGGAGTCAAGCTTGTGGATTTTTAAGTATTCCATATTTTCCTTCTTATTATCTGCTCTGAGGCAGCCACACTTGGGCATGCCTGTGTGCTCTTCCTCTTTCTCTCTTTCAACAGGAAAGGAACTGGACCCAGTCAAATTAGCTACTTTTTAGTAACTACTAAACTATTAAGTGGAGAATAAATTTAATATTGGAATGAAAGTGAAGGATATGTTTACGTTCATCTCTCCCCCATGGTTATCACATGTAATCAGCCTTTATTAGAAGGAGTAGCAGTAATTTTGCATACACCTGCCTCCGAGTTCATGTTGTGGACATGCTCATTCACGTTGCATTTCCTTTGTCTCTTTACATCCTCTGCCTCAGCTTATCTCAGGAAACACTCACCAGAGTTGGGAATTTTGGGGAGTGACCAAGGATTTAGAGGTTAAATTCAACCTTCTGAGAATAGGAGCTGGGGGATGAAGAATTGAAACTTAACTTTTCATGATGCTGTGTAGAAGAGACTTCCCTTTTGATAAACTATTGACAATTTGGTTCCTCGTATGAGTCAAGGACCATCTGTTTTTGTTACTTTTGGTTAAAAAAAAAGTGTAATGAAACATTTACTCAAGCTCTTGCTCTTCTTGGTTCTGCAAATGTATTTGGATTCTGAATTGTAATTCCTCAATCATTTCTGTTTTAGTTATTTAAGAGAAGGCTGTTTGCCTATGCTGTCCTTTTATAATTAAAAGAATATTTTTCTAAAAGCAAACAATGCTTTCTTTCCTCCATAGTAGCCATAATTATAGTGCCATTGATATTGATGACTTTATTTTAATCTTAAGTAAAACCTTCAATTGATTTTAAAAGGCCTAGAATAACACAGGGCTTGGCTGTGTTTCAAAGTAGTTTGGTTTGTCACACACTCTCTCTCTTAATTCCTTTCAGGGTGGGCTGATCAACTTTGAGAAAAGGAGAAGGGTAAGTGGAGATCTTGGCTGTGATTTTCCATGTGACTTTATCTGGGCGTGACAGAATGAAAGAAGTGGGGACTTACATTTTTTGGCAGAGGCAGAAAAAAATGAATTAGCATTTATTGAACATTTGTCATATACCAATGTGCTCAGCATGCTCCCATACATTATCCCCCCAAGATCCCCCTGAGGTAGATTTCTCATCCTCAGTTCAAAGGTGAGGAAACCAGGACTGAGCGAGATGAAGTCATGTGGCCAGAGTAGTGGCAGAGCCAGGGCTCACATCCTGTCCTGCCACTGCAGAGCCCGCCTTTCTTTCCTTGAACTTCCTCCCCCATTCATTACAGTTGGCTTCAGTAATAACAGGTTCATCTTATAAGGGTTTCATAAGAGTAAATGACATAGGAGAATTAATAAAGATGGTTAACTCTTTTTTTTAAAGAGTATTAATCATAGCAATTCTTTTTTAAAAATATATTTCTTTATTGATTTCAAAGAGGAAGGAAGAGAGAGATAGAAACATCAATGATGAGAGAAAATCATTAATCAGCTGCCTCTTGCATGCCCCCTCTGGGGATCGAGCCTGCAACCTGGGTACGTGCCCTTGGTGGGAATCGAACCCAGGACCCTTCATTCTGCAGGCCAACGCTCTATCCACTGAGCCAAACCAGCTAGGGCAAAATGGTTAACTCTTATGGGTCTATTTGAGAGAGGAAAGGAAAGAGTCTTCATTATTTGAAGAATTATTCTTTTTCTTTCCTGTCAGCATAGGAAAGGGTGTTCAACATGAATTTTAACTTTTTGTATGGACAGTAGAATAATTCTGCATTGCACTAAAAAAAAAAAAAATAAGACAGAAAGCTTTGAAAATTTGGTATGGCTTTAGTGTTGATGTGGTGTAGTTAAATAGCTATTTAAAAGATTCAAAGGAAAACAAGCAGGAAAAAGAAATAACTTCACCCCAGAGGACTCTTACTGTTCTTCAGTCATTCATTCACTCTTTGATTCCATAAATGCTGATTGCATACATTAACTACCATGGGCCAGGCGCTATGATAGGTTTGGGTATTACATACAAAACAGTGCTCACTAGCCTCGGAAAGCCTGCAATCCAGAAGGAAGATGAACACACAAGAAGGCAATTATAAGGCAACCTGATGAGGGCTTGTGAGCAGGAATGGGTATTATAGGAGCCTGCAGGAGGGGGATCCATCCCCCAATTTATGGGGTCAGAGAAATTTTCAGAAGCAAATGACCTTGAAGTTAAAACCAGAACTTCAGGAGCTGAGCAAGCTGAGTTCACTAGTAACAAGATATACTAACCTAGAGATGTAAGGCTTCTGTCCTTGGCAGAGTATGCTTTCTTCTGTAGCCAATGACAAATGTTGCCTGAGGATTCTAAGACCAAGGGTGGAGGTCATTGGAGGGGAAACTGACACCATAGACTGCCAGCTGCTGAGTTACCTCTGTCATGTCCTGTAAGGGTAGAACACACTGTTGTTACCTCCAGTTACCCATCTTTGTCCTTTAGCATCAGAATAACCAGGGATGGTAATCTCTTTCCCTTTAAGACTAGCATGCGGGACTCTTGGAAAGTTTGAGTATAAAACCTAAGGCTAAAGCTTATACTCATAGCTGACTTAAAAATCCTTATTGATGTATCTAAGGAAGTATAAATAATTTTGGACATAATTATATACTTGCTTCTTTTGTGAGCTTTAAGACTTGGTTAAATGATTTACTGGAGTAGTAAAAACCCGAGGATTGGAGAAATCTAAACATTCTAGTTTGTGAGGCACCGAACTGTTTAGATATTCGAACATACCACAACTTATTTGTTGAGGGGTAAGAGTTGAAGATGAGGGTGGTGAACTTGGGAGCTTCCAAATATTTTTGTTTATCTTTTAGAAGTATTCTATTTAAAAAATAACTTATTTTATCCTTAGCATTAAAATAGAAAAGAACAAAAGGAAGTCACCAAGACCTTAGGTAATAACTAGTTTGGGTTGCTTTGACAGAGTATTTTATTCACACAAATTGCTTTGTTCAGGGGAATGGAGGATTGGCAATTAAAGCAGACAAGACCTTCAAAAATTCTAAGTTAGAATTTCTAAGCGTTACTCAGCTATTTTATTTCTAAGGAAAGCAGTACTTTGGAGTTCCTCTAGATGATTTTTTAAAATATTTTATTGATTTTTTTTTTTCACAGAGAGGAAGAGAGAGGGATAGAGAGTTAGAAACATCGATGAGAGAGAATCATTGATCAGCTGCCTCTTGCACACCCCCCACGGGGGATGTGCCCGCAACCAAGGTACATGTCCTTGCCCGGAATCGAACCCAGGACCTTTCAGTCCGAAGACCGATGCTCTATATCCACTGAGCCAAACCGATCCCAGCTAGATGATTTTTTCCATCATTTATCCTAATGTGGCATTTTTTTTTCCTTCATGTTGAAAAGATGTGTATTTGATTGGCCTTATTTCTCACTCTTTCTTTTTGGTGTCCTGTCTGCTTTAGGAATTTGAAGTGATTGCCCAAATAAAGCTCCTACAGTCTGCCTGCAACAGCTACTGCATGACTCCAGACCAGAAGTTCATCCAGTGGTTCCAGAGGCAGCGGCTCCTGACAGAGGAGGAGAGGTAGGCAGGCCTGTTGCCCATCACGGTGGAGCTGTGGTGCTGGCGAGGGGAACACCACACCCAGTTCCTCATGTGGCCATTTTTCAACAGCTGTTTAGTGAACAACTACTAGACCCTAGACCCTCAGGTTTCAAAGGATACTGATGTAGCAGCAACAGCTGAATTGATGACATCAGACGATGTGCTTTCAGATTCTTGCTCTGCCATTGATTATCTTTGTAACCTTGAACGAGTCACTGACTCTTCCTGATCTTCAGGATGTTCTTGTAGAAGATGTTTGTGAGGATTAAATAAAATCCTCTTTGGGGAAAACATTGCTGAAGTGCTTACATCATCACCACCACCACAACCAATCATCACCATGCTGTCACTGTTGTGAGCTGGTACCAGCTTTCAGTCAGAGAGGGAGGCAGCTCATGAAGAACTGAAGTAAAATGCTGCAGGATCTCCAGGCAGGAACAGGATGGGGGAAGCAGGGAAGCTGGCCATGAAGTGTTCCCATTTGGGCGGGTCTGAGAAGGAGAATAGGTTGCACCTGGAGAACTAGAGAAGAACATTCCAGAGAGAAAAATATGAGCGAAGGCTCAGAGGTCTGACACGCTTGGTGTTTGGAGGGACAGTGAGAATTCTGGGATGGTTGGGACACAAGGGGCAGGTTTCGGAGTAGTCGTTGGGGGAGTGTAGGAAGGTACATTAACTGCAGAATGTTGGCCCTTCAGTGGTGTCGGCTTATAGTGTAGCCCAGAGGAATAGAGTCTGCAGGCCACATCGACCCACTGCATGCTTTTATATTTTTAAATGGTTGGAGTCAGCTTGGGGGGGAAGGGTGTGTGAGGGGAGGTTGAGGAGAGGAGAGACAAAGGATGTGACATGGGGCAGATATTTAAAATTCAGATTTTATCCATAAATACAGTTTCATTGGAACACAGCCCATTCATTCACATTGTATTTATGATTGCTTTCGTGCTTTCAAGGCAGAGTTGAGCAGTTGCCACAGAGACCATGCAGCCTGCAAAGCCTGGTCCTTTACAGAAAGTATACGCTCGCTTGCGTGCACACACACACCCACACACTCGCACATATATACACATACACACACATACACATGCAGTAATATGAGGGAGACAGAGAGAGATGATTCTTCCCCAGACTTAGCAGTGGGAGGAGAATGACCAGGAAACAGAATGGAGTCAGCCTTTGATGCTGCTACAAAGCACACATCCACGTATTTGACATGTGGGACTAACTGGCCTCAGACTATATGCCTGTGAGGGTGTCAGGAGAAGGCATGGGTGTAAATTTGTAAGATCTGGCCATTGAGTCAGTGCCCTCAGACACGTGTGATAGAACAACATGGTACATATCTTTTATTTTGAGTAATCAGAACCTTCCTCTAAAATAAAACCAACAAATCACATGGATTTCAACCTCTAATTGCCAAGCCCTAACCTCGCGTCCCTTCTCTTCCCCAGCTACGCCCTGTCCTGTGAGGTGGAAGCTGCTCCTGACGCCAGCACCACCTCGCCCAAGCCCCGGAAGAGCATGGTGAAGAGGCTAAGCCTGTGAGTGTCACGCAGGGTCCTGGGGCCTCCAGGGCCCCGTCGGAATGGGGGAGAGGAAGGGTATTCAACACAGACGCCCTGAGTTAGAATTAATCTTCACAAAGTAGAATGGCCTCATTAAGTTGCACAGCTGGAAGAACCTTTGGTAGGATGCTTTCTTGTATGTATTTAATAATTTTGTGTTGTGAGCTCATTTTTATCAGAGAATTCTTTGCAGCCTGGGTTGAAAGTATATTTCTCCAGAAATATGTGTGTGTGTGTGTGTGTGTATTTGTGTGTGTGTGTATTCTAGTTTCTTCAGGAGTATTACTGTCCTGAGAGTTCCTAGAATGCTTAGTAGCAAATCTAAGATCACATATGATTTCTGGAGAGACGTTTTTCTTTCTTTTTTTTTTTTTTTATTGATTTCAGAGGGAAAGGGAGAGGGAGATGATGAGAGAGAATTATCGATTGGCTGCCTCCTGCACGCCCCACACTGGAGATCAAGGCTGCAACCAGGCATGTACCCTGACCAGGAATCAAACCGTGACCTCCTGGTTCATAAGTTGATGCTCAACCACTGAGCCATACTGGCCGGGCTCCAGACACTTTTCTTTCACCCAAACTCAGGCAGAAACAGAGAAGCTGCCCTGCTGTCTTTCTGTGCCAACAGGAGGTATTGTTCTAGCCCATCTTTTCACTAAGGATGCAGCCCTCTGAGGGTCCTGTCTGTATGGAAGGGGTCTCAGTTCCCACTCCCTGCCTTACCCAACAGCAGCCCTCACCTGTGAGGCTGTGCATGTGCTAAACCCATGCCCTCATTTGCCAAGGCTGGCGCCTCCCACGCCCCACCCAGAGCAGCTGCAGGACCAGCTCACGTGCTCAGGCTTCAGTTTCTTCCTCTCTGGCCTTGAGGGATTTTCCCTACTATCTCGCATGCCCAACTTTAAAAAGGTTTTTTAATGTTTCTTATCAAGTTGTTTTATAGTGAAGTGATTTAGATAGTACAGTTCATCCACTCGTAGGAAACAGAACCTGCCTTCTTGGTTTCTTATCTACTCACGGCCAGTCTTCTTCACCCATGTGGAGTTGTCTTATGATGGGATTTTGATTCTGAAAAAAAAAGAACACTTGACCTAGAAAGACCTCAGATTAACATGGCTTTTGGTTCAGCTAAGCAATCTGTGTGTTCTTTGAGGTTGGAAATAATCCACCAGAACAAGATATTTACTATGATCTGTTAGAAACGTTGTAGCAAATGTTTTCCTAAAATAATAAGGACAGAGCACACAAGATTGAGAAAACATCAAGGATTTAATACAAAAACATTTGCTGGATCACGGATTCCAGATTTGTAATTGCCAAACGCTTGGCATTGTGTTTCTGCAGACTATTTCTGGGGTCGGACATCATGACCAGTACCACTCCCAGCAAAGAGCAGCCCAAGTCCACGGCCAGCGGGAGCTCTGGCGAAAGCATGGACTCCGTGAGTGTGTCCTCTTGCGAGTCCAACCACTCCGAGGCCGAGGAGGGCTCCATCACCCCCCTGGACACACCCGATGAGCCTCAAAAAAAGGTAAGGCCTTATCCCCTCCCCTAGTTCCTAATTCAGGCATCCAGCCTAGTGTTTACCACATGGGGCACGCCTGTTTTCAGGTTGTCACTCCACAGTCTTTGGAAAGGCATGTTTTTAATAGGTGTCAAAAGGGGACTTCTAGCTGGGTACTCATTCCTTACAGGTCCAGGCCCCAAAGCAAGGGGCTGATTGGTTTATTTCTCTAGCTTTTGAAATATTGTCCCATACCCACACCCAAAGGCAGCTGAAGGATTGTAACCTATAACCCCGGTCAACACTTTATAGAGGAGATGTAGGATTTTCCTAGAAGGAGCAAAAAGTCAAGAGACAGAGATCTGTCAGCTTCTTGTTGTCATACCTGGTCTCTGCTAACCTTTTACCACAATAATGTCGAATAGCAAAGCACTTCCAAACTCGGTGCTCAAAACAACAGCCATTTATTTTCTGTCATGCACAGCAGGCTGGCTGCTTTGGGTTGGGCTTGGTCCTAGGCCATGGGTTTGGTCCAGGTCTGCTCTGTCTGCCTTCCATTCTTTTTGGAGTAATGGGCTAAAACAGATGGATAAGCTGGCAATCCCCACCCATAAGTACACATTAAGCCTTTGCCTGGATCCTTTTTATTGGCCAAAGCAAACCATGTGGCCAAATCCCACATAAATAAACAAGGCAGAGAACTATATTTCAGTTCTGATGGGAGGAACTGAGGAGTCACAGAGCAAAGGGCATGAATGCAGAGGAGGGTAAGGAACTGGTAACATTGATTCCATCTACCATGTTCCCCAAAAAGGAAAGTGATGAGAGGTGATAAGAGAATTCCCAGAGAGGACTTCCATTTCCATGTTGCATAAGTAAATGAAAACCAATGATCCATCTTAAGCTTATACAGATCTGCTTCAGCTGTTGGTCACTGAGCTAGAAAGAGAAGCATCCACTTTGACATGGCTAGAATTTGCACCATTTTGGGAAGTTTGGGGTTATACAATCTCACTGTGTGACTTCTGGCCCTTGGGTTACGCTTAGGCCAGCGAGGTGGAGTGTCACTAACAGTCCTTCCTTGTGTGCATACCCACTGTGTATTCGCACTGAGGCCCGAGAGAAAACTGGTGACGGTACCACCTGGACATGCAGGGGGGTCTGCGTGCTCTTTCACATGGTGTTCCAAGCAGCAGCAGCAACCTGGGGCCTCAGGTGCCCTTGTCACAAAGTCGCCAGTGCAGGGGGACACCATGCTCTGGGCCCATCTCCGTGATGACTCCGGGGCTGCCCCAGCCGAGTGTCTCGCCCCTCTGTTTTGGAATCCAGATAACACTGTCCAAATTGTGAGGAAAGTCTCTGCAAACACATGCAGCTATCTCGGGCATTTTTCCTAAGCCAAGGGCGTGATCCATCTTCATGACCTTGACCTGCGGCATTGCAACTGCCAGTCTGGAGTGAAGTCTCATTATTCACCTTGGGACAGGCCTTTATGGTTTGTAGGCCCCTTTCCTGACGATGGACATTGTGTGGAAGTGACAACTGAGGTATCGCCCACATCTTTGTGGGATTTCTGCCGGGTCAGGAAGGAGATAGAATCTCGTTCGCACCTGTTGCTGCAATGGACATGCATGGAGGTCCAGGCCATCCCTTCTCTAGCAACACCGAAGCCCAGCGTGTCCTTTACTCGCCTTTGCTTCATTCCTTCTTGTCTCCCCGATCACGCCGGTGCTTCAATTTCTTGCACGAGTCAGACATTTTTATTCTTTGGATGAACCTGGCTCCGAGTCAGGAATTTCTGTAGGTTTAAAAATGAGTCATTGAATTGGATGCAAGTAGTTGCTAGGCTTCAGTATCCCTGAAAGCTAATGGGAAAGGCCTCGGTTGTCCTGCTCAACTCAGAGCTGCCCTGGTGACCTCCACAGCCCCTCCTGCTCCGCAATGCTGCAGCCTCCAGGCTGGCGCTCTGCCTTCCCCACCAGCTGTTTAGTAAAGTGTAATCCCCTCCCGTCTTCACTTCCTTGATCACAATTTCCAAACATTTATTCTCACACTTGCCCCTCAGAATAAATCCTCAGTAAGAAGATGGGGCTCCTCAGGTGGTCTGTTTATAGCTGCTGTGACCCAGCTTTCTCTCCCAGGCTTTACCTTAATTGTAAATGTCATTAAGATCATGGGAAACCTACCAGAGGACAGTGGATTTATATGAAGGAAAAATAAGGTGATGAAGTTGAACCAGTAACGAACAGGGGCTCTCTCGGTTCTGTGAGGTACACCTGCAGGCAGACCCACCATCCGCTGGCCCTCACACTGAGCCCCGGTTCATTCACTAGGGAGCATAAGGAGAAAATGTAACTAAGCCATGTTACTATGGAGCCACAGTGAGATGCCTGCATTTCAGAGCTGAAACGTCAGCTTGCCGGGCTCTAATTAAACTGACCATGCAGAATGCAATGCATGTTTATGCCACAGGAGGAAGTCCAGTGGAGCAGACTCCATTTTACTCGGAAGCCAGATATCAGAACACTAAGTTCCTGGAGCTCTGTTTCCATGGAAAGGTAGACTGGTATGAAAGAAATTAATGTCGCTTACTTTTTAAAAGACTTCCAGGTTATTTGATAGGACTAATTGGCTTACCTCATCTGAGAGATTACTTGTCATTTTTTTTTTTGTTAAATATATTTTATTGATTTTTTTACAGAGAGGAGGAGAGAGGGGTAGAGAACTAGAAACATCGATGAGAGAGAATCATCGACCAGCTGCCTCTTGCACACCCCCTACCGGGGATGTGCCTGCAACCAATATACATGCCCTTGACCGGAATCGAACCTGGGACCTTTCAGTCCGCAGGCCGACGCTCTACCACTGAGCCAAACCGGTTTCGGCTACTTGTCATTTTGTACATTACAAGTTGATATTGAAAATGATTCAATGTAATGGCTTTTTGGAACACCACCTTGTGAATTTGGGGCATCCTATTTTTTTGGTAATGGGTATTGCACACAGAAAAACGATGTGGTTAATCAGAAAGCTCATGAACTATAGCACCTCATTCCTTAATTATTCTTGATATACAACATGGAGATATGTACAGTTGGTTCTAGAAGCAAACATGGAAAATGGTGAGCCGCTCATGGGCTATGTATATTGCCCTTGAATAAGTCACATGTTCTCTAACTCATCACGACAGTGCGTTTTGTTCACAAGATGTGTGCAAGCTCATCACAGCCTCACAGTGATAACTATCACCGAGGGGATGGGTACTGTGTTCAGTCACCGCGCCATCACCAGCTGCACACTGGGCCCTGGTTACGCTATGGTACACCTTGGCTCTGTGAACCTGACCACAGGCACCAGGGAACTTGGGAGCATGTCCAGGTGGTACTGTCACCAGTTTTCTCTTTGGCCTCTGGCTCCTCACAGTGGGAAAGTATAGGCTGGGTGACCTCCAGAGGCCTTTGAGGACTAATAGTTCATGTAGGCTGTAAAATGTACTCCTCCTCTTAGAACCCTCTAAAATAGTAACATTTCTCTCCCGCTACGCCATCTGATGGCGAAGTGGGATCCGGATGGAAATGCCGTCTGTGGGAAGGTCAGGCCTCATTCCTGCTCAGGGCCCGTGGGGCCGGATAAACTGCAGGTGACCCTTTCCCCTGCCCTGTCAGTTTTTCCGACTTCCTGCGGGAGCCCCTATTGCCTCAGCTTCTGGTATCTGCTGCCACCTGCTGGTTAACGTCCTTCAGAGCAGCTACTAAGGGGGAACGAGAGCGCCCCCTTGCCTCGCACAGATGCAGAGCGATCAAGTCAAGTACTGAGTCACTGACAGGCATCTCTCTGCCAAGGAGGTGCTCACACAGAGACAAGACACACGTGTGCTGTGGGCTGTGTGGAGGAGAGCGGAAACGTTCTAGTCTCAACAACTGTGCTTTGAGACTTGTGAAGCGCACTGTCGGCCAAGGGGCTAACGCTCCATTTACTTTGGGGTGTGTTTACTCTTCCAGCTCTCCGAGTCGTCCTCATCGTGCTCCTCCATCCATTCCATGGACACAAACTCCTCAGGGATGTCGTCCTTAATCAACCCCCTCTCCTCCCCTCCGACCTGCAACAACAACCCCAAGATCCACAAGCGCTCTGTCTCCGTGACCTCCATTACCTCGACTGTGCTGCCTCCCGTTTACAACCAGCAGAACGAAGACACCTGCATAATCCGCATCAGCGTGGAGGACAACAACGGCAACATGTACAAGAGCATCATGGTGAGGTGCCAGGCCCACGCCCCAAAATACGTGCCCGTAGCATATACCCACGCGTTCACACAAAATGCGTATGTGCCAAAGGATCAGTTCCTAGACCTCCCTGGGCATATACCAATGATGCATATCTATAACTAAAAAAGCATTATATGCTAATTAGACCGGATCTTCTTCTGGACAACCTTCCAGACGAAGCCAGGCTGCGAGGGAAGCCTGGGTCCCGGGTGCCAGAGGGAAGCTGGTGTCGGCAGCTGCGGGAAGAAAGGCCTACTCGTGCATTGGGCCTCTAGTATCTAAATATCTGCTGACTCCCAGTGCGTATAGGACGATTTTTACATCTTAAAATTTGCTAAGGTTTATTCCCCGGGTCAGTGCCATCCTTTCCAGAAATGTCTACTTGGATGCCTTTATAATGTTGCCAGGGAGACGCTGCTGCACCCCTTCTTGGGGGTCTTTCTGGGGTTCCGTGTCTGGGTGCTCATTGCGTGGCCATGCAGTCTTAGCAATGGCCTCTGTGGAGGTGAATTTTTCTTTCAGTTATTTGGAATCAAACTTAGTAAAGTGGATGATCAAACTGGAAATACAGTGTGAGTCCATGAGGAACTTTTTACAGATAAATGAGACTGACCTTGAGGTTCTCGTATAGACTGTATAGTTTTGAGCACAGTCCCAAAAGCTCTTTGGATGATGGAAGTCTTTTTGGAACACAGAGCCAAAGAAACCAGACACAGAAGATTACATCCTGTAGGAGTCTGTTCTTTCACAAACAGGCTACACAAACCTGTGGTGTTAGAAAACTCACCACAGGGAAGGGGCACAGGGAATCGTCTTAAGTCCCTATTTCAGGTGCATGAAGGTGACACCTAAGCCTCATTGCACATGGCTTCATTCAGTGGAGTAGCCACTAGCTATGGGTAGAGATTAAACATCTGAAATAGGGACAGTATAAAATAGACACCAGATTATTTATATATATATATATATATATATATATATATATATATCATATAACATACATATATATTATTGATTTTAGAGAGGAAGGGAGTGAGAAAGATAGAAACATTAATGATGAGAGAGAATCATTGACCAGATGCCTACTGCATACCCCCTACTGGGAATTGAGCCTGCAACCTGGGCTTGTGCCCTCACCAGGAATCGAACCATGACCTCCTGGTTCATAAGTCAACGTTCAGCCTCTGAGCCATACTGGCCAGGCTAGACACCAGATTTTGAAGACTTAATACAAGAACAGAATGTAAAATATCTCCTTGACAACATTTATATTGATTATATGCTGAAATAATATTTTGGGTGTATTGGATTAAATGATATATTATTTAAATGAATTTTTCTTTTAAGCCACTTTTTAAGTGGGGTTAATAGATACTTAAAATTACAAATATGGCTCATTATGTATAACTACTGGATGGTGCTGGTTCAGTACATCGGCATGCAGCCTCGTGACTGAGCTGTCAATACTAATTGCGGTCCTCAGTTTCCCTCCATAGCTTTTCTGGTACAAAGTATTAAGCGCTTAAGGAAAGCCCTTGCCTATCCCATCCTCATTCAGACTCCCATGGGGAAGATGATGGTAAAGAAGATGAGGTAGCCTGGCTGTAGGTTTCAAGTTGACAGAGTCTTTGTCCAACATCCTCACGTGGTGTCCTCTCTCCTCGGGCTTCATGCTCCTCCTCCCCTGGGACTCAGCTGTGGGAGCATTTCCTTCAGACCATCCAGCAGCATATTTCCCTCCTGTAAGCGTTTGTGGAAATGGAGATGCCAGATGTTTTGGTAATGGACAAATGTGCAAGGTCTTTGTCGCCTACAAGGACCTCATTGTAGGGCATGCTGTTTATTGAAGCGCAGATACCAGCTGCTGCCCTGACTAGAGGGAGAGACATCTGGGCCTGCCGTCCTTGGGCTCACAATGACACAGTTTTCTGGAGGCTTTAGACATCTTGTTTGATTGTTATTTGTGGTTGTCTCTCTGTTTACCTCCTGGTGAGAACAGCGTTTATTTTTAAGTAAGAATAATTTGTGTTTCCATTTGCTTTCTGTCATATTTGAAGAAATCACTCAAGGGATGGTACATGAGTCAGCCCTCTCAGTGTGTAGACTGGCCATTTCTGAGCACCCTGCAAATGGGCGGCTGATGGGCAGAGAAAAAAGGGAGAAAGTCAGAATTAGTGGTGAGGGGAAACTTTACTTACACTTAAAAAAGTGCTAGATTTATTACTTTTAAACATTTAGAAGCTGACTTTTATTGGAGTATGATTTACAATTACATACACAGATCTGTGTTCAGTTCTTTGGTTGTGAGAATAACCTCTGTTTCTGTCTGTGTCTGTGTCTATGTCTATGATCATGTGCATGTCTATGTTCATGTCTATGTCTATATCCATGTCTGTGTCTATGACTATGTATGTGAGCACCACCCCAACTCTAGATAAAGAATCTGTTTTTGTCCCTTCAAAAATTCCTTTGTACCCTTTCCTGTTAATCCCCTGTTAACCTGGTTAAAGTTAAGATTAATTGAAGTTAGCTTTCTATAATAACACCACAGGCTAGTTGACTCTTGCAGCATGTAATCTGCTGTGTCTGGTTACTTTGGCTCAACGTGATATTGTAGAGATTCATCCCCAGTGTTGTCTATATAAGTTCTTAATTTCCTTTTATCTGCTGAGTAGTGTTCTTTTGGGAACATGTGATCATTTATTTATCTATTCCCTAATGTCCTATTGATGGAAATCCAGGTTGATTAACTATTACGAGTAAATCTGCTATGAACGTTTGTGTACAAGTCCTCTGGCGGACATCTGTTTTCATTTCTCTTGGTGATACCTGGGAGTAGGATTGCTGGGCCATGGGGCCTCTGTGCTTTTTGAAATGGTCGGGATGCAGAACAGGCCATTTCTGACCACAGGCCACAGGTTGTAACCAGTGCCATAGCAGCAGGTAAGGATCATTTTGGTGGAACCTCAACCAGTGCGAGTGAGATAATTCAGGCATGTGTTCTCTCTGTTAACAGGGGAGACACTGTGACTCAGGGAGTAGGTGACTGAGAGTAGGTGGCCCATCATCATCCCTCAGCCTGGAGCCAGGACGAGAGCCCAGGAGTTCTGGCTCTTGGCCTCTTCTCATTCCCCTGGGCCATTTCTCCTGGAAAGGACATGACAGCAAGAATAAGGGGGTCAGAGAACTCTTTCAGGAGACAGGAGGCTAAGTACTCTGAACACCACCTCATTGTCTTCCAGTTGACGAGCCAGGATAAGACTCCCGCTGTGATCCAGAGGGCGATGCTGAAGCACAACCTGGATGCGGACCCAGCTGAGGAGTACGAGCTGGTGCAGGTCATCTCGGAGGACAAAGGTGAGCGCAAGTTCCTTCTCCCGTCTGCTCACTCAGGTTGCCCCAGTTTTAGAAGATAGAAAATGGGGACAGTGTCTTTAAAAATTGAATCAGTGAAGTTTTTAATTGTGCAAAGGTGGAGTTAACGTGGGGAACCTTGCCATCACCTCTCTTGTAGAATTAAGTGTCTCAGGCTACCCCCAACCTCAACTCTGTTATTTGCTAAGCATTCCTACTGCCCATTCTTTGTCAACTTCTTATCTTATGTCAGGAGGTGGGGATAGTTGGGGGTTCTTTTGGATCTTTGCAGATGGACACATATCTCCTTTACCCAATAATGTGTGTCTAAGTTGTGTGTGAATCTGCAATGTAGCAGTTTCTGTAATCATTTATCAATGTTTCAGTTATTCATTTATGAGAAACTTATAAGTTTGTTTTTCAGTTTGCCTTTTTATAAAAAAAAGATTTTTATTGATTTTTAGGGAGAGAGAGAAGCATTGATGTGAGAGTGAAATATTGATCGGCTGCCTCTCACATGCCCCTCACCAGGGATCGAGCCTACAACCAGTGCATGTAACCTGACCAGGAATTGAACTAGCAACCCTTTGGCTCATGGGACAACTCCCAACTGAGCCATTATCTTTATTCATGTTTGATCTTCAAATATCAAAAGCTTCCAACACCTGAATCTAGGAGTCTTTCGCTCACACTTCTTGAAACAAAAAAATTGATGAACTATGACATACTTCAATATGCCTAGAACCCATTATTTTTAAAAATTCCTTTTATGAAAACTCTAGGCAAATAAACACCCTGAATGTATCTGTTTGCTCATTTGAATTGGGGTTGTAAGTCCAGAGGAACAGCAGGTACAGCTGACAGACCCCATGCTGACCAGCCCCTGGAAGGGCAAAGGAGAATTCTACAGGCAGGTGTGTGGGGAGGGAGCAGCTGGTCATACTCCATTTGACCACCCAATCACCCAGGGCTGTACCTTGGATCCAGAGGAGAAAGGCCAAATTAGTAGTACCTGTTCTTAGAGATGAAAGAGTAAAGCTCATGGAAAATTCATTCTCAGCTACCTCTTACAAATGTTCTTACCCATTCAGTTGTAAGATATAGTTTAATGTACTTTCAGTTAAAATTCTATGCCTCAAAAGTGGTCTCTTGAGTTCTACCATGTTACCAATAGAACAACACTAAGGCCAGTGGGTCTGAAGAGCCAGGAATCCCAAGGTGCAGGCTGGGCCCAGCTTTGCTCACCGCTGTGCCATCTTGGGCCGGCTGCTTGACCTCCTGAGGCCTTGGTCTTTGGGAATATGTGGGCAGGAGATTGGAAACACTTTAAGGGAGTTTTTCTTCATGAAACATTTATGCAACATGTACTGGAATCGCCTGGAACCTGGTTGCGTCAGTCTTGCTATAGAGTCTCCGTGTTTGAAGTTCACACAGGTTGACTTAGCCAGACCTGCAATCAGATGCCTCCCTGTCTACTGCCACGAAGCTACACTTGCATAGTTTACCTTTTGTATTCCTGTTGTTTTTTTAGACACCCATTACCTCTGAGTGCTAAATAGTATGTACCTTCTTTTAAAAAGAAAAGGGAATTAAAATAACTTTGCTGGATAATTTCATATCACACTTGGAATAATCCTTGCTCAGAAATTGCAACTGTCTAGTTGGGAATCATTGAAGTAGACAATAGCTTACAGGTTAACAGATATACACTATCTTATATGATGCTGTTTAATGTTAAAACGCAAGCTCTTGATGAAGCATGACCTCACAAGGAATCAAATACTGGTTGGATGCTTCAAAAATGTTTTGATAGTCCAACAAAAAAAGAGTTCTGGAAAACACTGTTGAGTTTATAATTCCTTCCTTCCCCCTCCCCCCATGTCATTAGATCCTCTCATTCTCAAGAAAAGCTGCATATTGGAGTAGAAAATAGACTACCAGAGGAGTGAGATCTAGGTTCTGGTCCCAGTTCTGATGTTTACAGGGTTGTGATCTTGGGAATGTCATTTGACTGTCTCCTGTAGAACCTTCCTCTAGTTAAAACGTTCTGCACTTGAACATTTAGCACATGGGTTGAATTTCTAAGCTCCTGTTTGCACTTAGTTTTTTAAACTTGGGATTAAGAAGTTGTGAGAACTTTTTTTTTTTTGGACGGGTTGGGTGGGGGGCAGGAAGGGGGGAAGTAGCAGTGGGAGGTCATTGTTTGGTTCAATTCACATTCCCAGGACTGAGGGCCATCGTCCCAGCCTGTTTCTGGGCAAACTCTGCCCCGGCCACTGTCGGTGCTGTGCTGACCTGCACAAGCTGACTGCCTTTCTCGCTCCTGTGTTTTAGAACTCGTGATCCCAGACTCTGCAAACGTCTTTTACGCCATGAACAGCCAAGTGAACTTTGACTTCATTTTACGCAAAAAGAACTCCACGGAAGACCCAGTGAAACTGCGTAGCCGGACAAGCTTGACCTTGCCCAGGACAGCTAAACGGGGCTGCTGGAGCAACAGACACAGCAAAATCACCCTCTGAAGGGAGGGACCACTGGCCCTTTGCTTGCCCACGGCAGAGCGGGGCTAAGGACAGACCATGGTGAGTGCAGCTACCATCCAGTGTTAGAGGATCATCGGTGAAGTCAGCGGCTATTTATTGAGTACCAGTGGTGTGACAGGCACCATGGGCAGATCGGAGATGGATCTGAAATGCAAAGAATGGACGATTCACTGATTCTCTTTGACCAATTTGATACTGAAATGCAAAACTACCCACATTTATAAATACATATGACACATATTTTGTATGTATGTGTGTATGTGAAAATACATGAGGGACTGAGAGGATATTCTGGACTGTAGAGAAACAAATTTGCACAATGGCCTGGGGAGTTGAGGTCACTTTTTACAGGGAAATAGAAGGAACTGAGAACCCACTTTCCTACCTGCCAAGTAAGTGGATCCAGTCCCAGGAATGCAGTGTCTTCGTGCCAGTATTATGAGGAGCCCACACCGTTTCACAGGGAGAGGAGGGCTCTCCCGACCAAGTGCCACCGGAAGAGAGCAGCTGCAGAGGCTGCGGTGCCACGGGCTCCATGAGAGGCCACTTGGGAAAGGGTTTGGATGAGCCCGTGGCTTCCCCTGCCGGCCTCTGCCTTCATCCCACCTCCTCCACCCCAGGGAGGCAGGGAGGCCCCGCTGACCCGCTAGTCCAGCGCCAAGACACTTCTGGAACCAACGCGAGTCCATTTTGATGTCTGGCAAGCGCATCGTGTTTCTGTTTCCCCCCCTAACTTGCACATCACCGTCATCCCTGCACAAGCAGCCACGTTCTTCGGTAACTGGGGGACCTTTTCCGATTGCCTTTCTCGTGGAGAGCTCTGTGTCTGGAGCCTTTTGCATCTGGGTGGTCGCACCCCCACACTATGTGCAATCTGTTCCTCAGGTGTAGGAAGTTCTACTGCGTTAGACTCCCCTTTGATCACTTTGAGCCTGTGAACGATTCCTAAGCAGCGACTGCGCCATCAGCAGCCCCTGGGAAGGTGTTCCCTGCAGAGCTTGTCCTTTCTACCTTTAACTTGTAGCATTAAGTGCCTCCTCACGGGAGAGAAGCGGGCTGCGCGTGTCACCTACAGCATTTCTAAAGAGGTACAGTCTTCCACCTGGAATCCATGAGGTTTTGTTTGTTTGTTTTTTAGGTCCCCATTTTTGCTATTACAGTATCCCTGTTTAGTGACTTTTTGTGTGTGTGTGTGTGTGTGTGTGTGTGTGTGTGTGTGTCTAGTAACACCATCAACCTCTCCCTTCCAACTCTGAGCTGTGCTGGGGTTTGCACTAAAAAGCCATATGTGGGACGTTGACATGTGTAAGAAGCACTTTCAGAATGTTGTCCTTTTTAAGAAAAAATTCTCAAAATATCAGATTTCATTCCAGAAATAAAACAAAACCACACATGAAGTGTAGACTGTAGGGAGCTTCTTTTCCCCCCAAATCCTGTAAGAGGGCTCCCAAAGGTCGTCCATGAATGACTGTATGAACTCTGCCAGAAACACCAGGGGGAGTGTGGAGCCTGGGGCAATGGACCAAAGAATGAGCCGGAAAGGGGTCCCTGTTCCTCTGGACCTTCTTACGAGACCAGTTTGTGCATCACAAGGACCGACCGGGTTCCAGCTGGTTCGAAGCACTTTCTTCCTGCAAGGCTTGTCCCGCCGTGTCCCTGGCTGGGAGGAGGTGGCCAGGGAGCCGGACAGATGGACACTGGAGTGAACGTGGCCTCCGCCTGGATTCTTTGGTTGGGAGGTCCAAGAGGAAGTAGAGAACTGCAGGCCTCGTTTCGAGTGCAGCTACCGAGACACACGTGTGCCCATGTGCTCGCCCTGTGTATTTATACTGTACATGTAGAGTCTAGATTTATATACTGCAATGTCAAAATATATTTTCCTTTTTTAAAAGACCATGGAAATTCCAAGTAGATAAAAATGTAGCCTCATTTATTTAATGCCACTTGAAATGTCTTAAACCTGTTTCCTGGTGGACAGCCGGGTCATGCCTTTAGCTGCTCGCATGCTTGTCTCTCTGCATCTCCATCGTCTGTCTGTTTACCTTTTGGTTAAACTAATAAACTGGTTGGGACTTGGGCGGCGCGTGCCGCCGGCCCCAGAGGGATTGTATCTGGAGTCTCAATGTGGCGGGTCTGGTTCCAGGTGTGTCGGTAGGCTCTATGGATGCCTCTCGGGCTTTGTGTGGGGAGCAGAGGGAAAAGCAGCAGGACCCTCTCCCCTGGCCATGTCCCAAAGTCAGCACATCAGGTTTGGGGCAAGAGTGACCAGAAACTGCAGTCAGATGCTCCCATCTGCTAGCTTGTTCTTCCTGAGAGCCATGCTGTGGGGGACACTTTCTAACTTTGAACTTCAGGCTCAGCTCGAAGTCAGTACCTGCTTGCTGACAGCCGATCCCTATTTCGCACTTGAAACCATCTAAGTAATCCTCGAAACCCGAGGGCCTCCATGGGGGAAGGTCTTCCCAAAAGGCGGCCATGCCAAGGCCTGCTTCGCTCGCCAGCTGCTCGTTATTGTCATCCCATCTTATTTCCAAAAAGCTCCCAGAATCATCCTTTGTTTTTAAAAATATATATATTTTTATTTGTTTTAGAGAGGAAGGGAGAGGAGGAGATAGAAACATCAATGGTGAGAATCACTGACCAGCTGCCTCCTGCACACCCCACACTGGGGATCGAGCCCACAATCTGGGCATGTGCCCCAGCCAGGAATCAAACTGAACTGAGACCTCCCGGTTCATAGGTTGACACTCAACCACTGAGCCATGCCAGCTGGGCCCCAGATTTATCTCCCAGTGAATTCTTTTTTTTAAAAAAATACATTTTTTAATTAAATTTTTTATAGAGAGGAAGGGAGAGGGATAGAGAACTAGAAACATCGATGAGAGAGAAACATTGACCAGCTGCCTCCTGCATACCCCCTGTCGGGGATGTGCCCGCAACCAAGATACATGACCGGAATTAAACCTGGGACCTTTCAGTCCGCAGACCAACATTCTATCCACTGAGCCAAACTGGTTTCGTCCCAGTGAATTTTTGAATGGTTCCAAGTCACCCAGTTTTCTGGGCTCTTGTGTTATTTTGGGAGAGAGCTGACCACGTGTGTTAAAAACTGACAATATGGGGTGGGGCAGGAAGAAAAAGGGGTTTCTGCTTCTGGCACCAGCTGACTGCTTTTCCAGGATCAATCTAGAGAACAGGTTCCCTTGTCTTGCTACTGTCTGGAAACTGGGCTTGGACACTTTCTGCCTGAAAGAATACTGTCTCAGAATTCCCTTTCTGGAGCTTTCGCCATGCAGCATAGGACCAGTAGAGGCCTGCAGCCCGGGCTTCTGTATCCAGCAGGCTCCCCAGGCCATCTCTTTTTCTACGGACGCAGCCGCGACGGCTGTGGTCACACCCGTACCACAGCTCCACCGCAAGAGGTTACTTCCATTGTGTTTAGCATGGCTGGTTCCCTAGACTCTCCCCTTAAATGGAATACCGTATTTTCCGGCATGTAAGACGACCCCCTAATTTTACAGTTAAAACATAGGTTTAGGCCTATATTCGCTGTATAAGACTACCTCCCACTTCCGAGGCAACACCAGTTCTTTTTTTTAATAGACCGCCTCTCTGACTCAGCCAATCCAAGCAGGCTTTTTATGCATGCAAATTATACATGTTCTGTACCCGAAGCTACACTGTGTTCTAGTAAAAAAGCCTGCTCAGATTGGCCAGAGTCAGAGAGGCGGTCTATTATTATAAAAAAAAGAACTGGTGTTGCCTCGGAAGTGGGGGGTAGTCTTATACAGCGAATATAGGCCTAAACCTATGTTTTAACTGTAAAATTAGGGGGTCGTCTTATACGCCAGAAAATACGGTACCCCTGGAAGGGAGGCAGTGGTAGGCTGAGGTGAAAAGCCGTGACATCTCAGCGATCTACGAGTTTCACTCCCAGGTGTCCTGGCGTGGTGCACCTGGAGCTCTAAGGGCGGCCAAGGGTTCGAGCAGCGTCCTCCTCATCCTCCTCACAGTTCTGCCACCTCAGGTTTCTGAAGGCAGAACTCAGAACTGTCCCTAACGGCCTTGGGACACAGCGGCAATGTCACTTCCATCCGCAGTCCCTGGGGCCAGTCTAAGTGCAGGGGAGTGGGGGGGCGATGAAGGAGAACCCTGAGAGGAGTCGACCAACATTGCCATCCCAGCCACCAAGGAGTTAAGTCTCTGAGTAGGGTGCACAGGTTCATTTTCCCACATTCATGGAAAAAGGAGGAGGTAGCAGGGAGGGGGGACGGGAGAGGGAGGCTGCCCAGAGCCAACAAAGGGCTGAAGACAGACAACTGCTCGAGGAGGAGAAAATGCCAGAAAGAAACGTGATTTTGTCAGCCTTGCAGAATTTATGTTCGTTTGTCAGCATGCAGTCACCACCGGTTCACTTGCTTGTGATGCTCCGACTTGGACTGAACTCGGAGCTCCTGAAGGACGCAGTTGAAAACAAGTCTCATAAATGGGACTGCTGGCACGTGGCCCACGCGATCCATTAGAATCCAGGCAAGCTAATCGCGGTAGCCTCAGAATTTGAAAGCCCCTGCTTGGCGTGGTTTCCCTACATCTCTACCCAGAACGCTGCGTGGGAGCAGTTCACTGAACGGTTGGTGAAACCAGCGTGTTAGCATTCTGTGGGGTCAGAAGGCATCTCAGACATGAAGTGCCGCCTCCCGTTACAGAGGCAGCTGGCCCGGAGCAGTGAAGTCATGCCCAAGGTTGGGGGCGGAGCTCTGGATTAGCGGCCCCACTGTGTGCGGGTCACGGTGGGTGGGCGCTGGAACCACGAGGTTTTCCTACGGGACACTCACCAATGCTTGGACAAGCTGGACAGGATGCCTGGGGTTCTCTCCACCTACAGCCCCCCGACCCTGTGAACTCACACCATCCGGGTTCGATGAGCAAATGGTTGGTTCTTTCAATGTCTCTGAGGAAGGTTGTGCTGCTGGTCAGAG